CATAAATATTGAACAATATAATTAATACTGTAAGTCTAAAACTCAACATATTGCTTCAGCAAGTAAAAATTTGAAAGCTCTACGGCACAGCTACCATGCTTTTTGACCTATATGTACTTATAGCAAAGAGTATAGAACTGCAACAGATCCGACTCTCTGGGTTCCGTTGGAACGCAATAATATCCCAAAAACCACTACCATGAACAACGTAAAAGGCGTTTGTATCTAATGTGTGATGCATCATAATATAGAATGCATGCTCGAGTTTCGAATTCAAGGCGCCCTCTATCTTGTGGTAGTACTTTTTTTAATGTTTCAGCAGTCACACCTTTTGCAATTCTATACTCTTTGCTTATAGTAAGAATAATATAATTGATGTAAAAAATATTTAATCAATGTATAATCTAATTAAATGTAAATGCTGACACAAAACAAATGATGATAAAAATGGTAACACAATTTTCTGTATCTGTAGCCTATACCAACCTACCAGTGGTTCCAAATCAACAGGTTGTCATGTATTAGCCTAGAAATGACCTTGTAATTACCTACCAGTAGCCTTCTACCAACCAATCATTGGTAGCGTACCAAACTGGCAGTGATAGTGTACTATCCTACCAATGTTGTATCAATCTACCAGTGTTCTTGTACCAGCCTACCAATAGTTATTTTATCCAAAAGTTGTCATATACCAACCTAGATCCATGATTCTTCTCAAAATATGCAGCTTCAATCCAGATTTTTTTGCGACTTGGGAACACGGTGAGTGCATATGCATAAATGGCACGAGAACATTCAAAGGCATTCATTGCTGCACACTAAAGAATAAACAAGCAAAGCGCAAGTAAATTGACAGCATTCAAAGTAGTTAATACAGTACAGAAGGTTAACTGCAGTTGAAAAACTAACTGTATATAATATTCTGGAAGACTTAAATATTGATAAAAAGATAGTCAGCTTTAAACTGCATGTTAATTGAAAATGTTCAAAATTCACCTGATTAAGAGTGATAACTATTGAATAATTGAATTTCTACTAACACTTTCAGCATCATCCATCCAAGTGGCTTCCCTATCCTCATCTTCAATGCCAATACCAATCACAGTGCGTCTATAATAGAGCAAGAAAACAATTCAAATTTGCGGCGAAATTGTAGATAAGTAGATGCTTGGCTTTCAATTGAATGTCTTGGGTTCAAATCTTGTTAAAACAAAATGTAACTTGACAGCTACTACAGAATCATTGAGACACCCTCTTCCCCTCTTCACATTCGTAAACCCACAGGATCAAACCCCATCCCCATTTAAAGACTCCTAGATATACCACTGGTTTCATCCACCATTTACTACTCTAGATTGAATTCAATTTTGAATTAGGCAAGAATATTTATACTGTCTGGCCAAATAAATTTTTTAATTTGTAGTCTCATATTGTCATTGTTTTATATTATTTCTGCAATTCAGCTTTAGCTACAATAAAATCATTTTAATGGATATATATGTTCCTTATTAAACACTTTATATGTACCTTTGATGATT